CTCTCTCTCTCTCTCTCTCTCTCTCTCTCTCTCTCTCTCTCTCTCTCTCTCTCTCGTTCCCTGATAATAATATTAATATTATAATAATGCGCGCATGCAAGTGATTTTTGTGGTACTCGGTAAATCAGGAGACGCGGTAGTGTTCAAAAACTGGAAGATACTACAAGTCTCTTATCCCGAGCCACCAAAGTCCATTTTTCGGAGAGATGCATAACTACTAAAATATAAATAATTTTGAATCGCATTATACGTTCTAAAAAACGGCATCGCCACGAGTAATTTGAGCTAAAAAAATTTTAAAAATATACCTATCCGATAAACACAATCGGTTGTTAAAAGAATATTTGTAATTTTCACATTGTATTATTTTGTATTAATACAGTATAAATATATACAGATTATAAATTATGCTAAAAATGATGGTGAAAGCTCCTTTCGGCAAAAAATTTATTCTAATTTATAGATACTCTTACAAATTATATACATTTAAACATTTAGTAAAAATATTTTTTTTTTTTATTACAGAATGCATTATAACCAATACGTATCGCTATGCTTGATCGCACTTGTCTTGGGACAAGTCGCGACATTACCGCAACATTCTCAATATACGCAGCAATACCCGCAACAGTACCAACAACAGATCAGAGAAGACAGAAAATTCGCTGAGAAACCGAATGCAATGAAAAAAGTAGCGATCGACGATCTCGAAGATATTAGCACCAATCAAATTCAGGTAAAATAAGATTCAGATACACGCAATTAATTTAATTTACTGTTATCTTCCACACTTAATATTTTCTGTCCTTTCTAAAGATATTTATTATGAAATTTATTATGTGCATCTCTTGTTATTAGATAATATAACGATTGTGAACATAAATTATTCAGAGTTTCAAATCAAGGATTAAGATAATGTTGTCTATTTTAATTTTGAATAATTTGTGACGATTAATTGATCAAGTGATTTTAATTAAAAGACTAATTTAGAATTTATATACTATAAATATTACCTAATATTAATCAATTATTTGTAGTGCTTATTAGAGATATGAATCAACTACAACATGCGTTCTTCTATTCATTATTTTTCGTGTTTAATTTAATAAGGAACTGAAAGAATAAATGTTATCCGATTTTCCATTACATTTGTAATACATGTATATTACATTTTTCATGTGTGTGTATGTGTGTGTGTGTATACACACACACACACACCACACATATAGGGTAAGGTTGCCGATATCGCACCGGCTTCTAAATCGCACTACCTCGTCTAAAAAATCAGTTATTTTATTTACACATTTTCTTACGGATTATATACAAACTATAAGATATTTCAACGCTGCTGCGTTACATTTGTGACATGAAATGCAGTAGAAGCCTTGTTATTTACGTAAATAAAAAAATCGTGATAGCGTTGCTATTTTTCAACATATTTCATAGCAAAAATGTAAAAATATAAGTTAAATAATCTAATTTTCTACAATTCATCGTGTTTAAAACACTATTAGAATTAGATTAATTGAATTAAATTTTTTTTAACAATGTTGTTTGTAAATTAAATAAATAAAATTTTACAAAGTGCTACTGTTTCCTCAATCGCACCACAATGTAGTGGCTTAAATCGCACCGCGCATATTGCACATGCACATGTGCACATGTGCTTATATTTCAAAAGAATTTGAGTTTAAATGTAATTTTTCAATACAAAAAGTTTAGTTTTTAATTTATTTTCTCTATCCCCCCTCCATTTCCATCATTAATTACATTTCTTATATTTTTTCACATTTTATTTTTTTTTTATTATGTAAAAGTATATATTGTAAATATATATTATGGGTACATTTCACTTAACGTCCGCAACGCTCATGAAATTATTTCATTGTTGTTGTTTATTAAACAACCTATGGTGCGATTTAGGCAACGTGTTTCCAAAATCGCACTATTTATAGGTATGTAAAAATTCTTTATTTAAAATATTATAATAATAATAAAAAAATCTGAAAAAAATTACATAAGAAAGAGAAAAGCTTACAGTTTATTACGCCACAAAAAAATTGAGAATATCCTTCTTACTTTCTGAGTTATAAGCCTTTATATGAAAAGTGGTGCGATTTCGGCAACCTTACCCTATATACACATATCTAAATATACATATATGTACTGTACATTAAAATTTAGCAACTTGTCTTTTTTCCCACTATATCATATCATGATATATTCTTTGACATTTGTATGTAGGAGGGTAGCAGCAGTGGTTTCTCATGGTCCAATATGCTAGGAATGCTAATGCAAATGCTGCTAGGTCAGACTGGAGGTGTAGCCGGACCCAGCAAAAATGAGATAGATGATGGCACGACTGTGAGTCCATGGACTAATCTGCTTTCCGTGGGTCTGAGAGTCCTCACCGCACTACTGGGCGGACCTCAGCAACCGGTGGATGGTATTGACAAAGTGGACAATCAAAGTAGTCCCATGCAGGTAAGTAAAAATAATTGTAATGTTCCAACGTTACTGTAAAAACCTCAGTTTCACTCTAAACATTTTTTTTCTTAAAATTGTAATGATATCGATGATTAAGAACCTATTTTCTGTAATTTTTACGCCCTTAATGACTATAACGGTAGCGTTACAGTGTGTGTAGTGTAGATTTTTTCATAAAAAGGGAAGACCGGTGAGATGCGCTGCACAGGTTTAAAGTCTCCAGTGTTAAGGGATCCCGGAAGAGATCCACAAGAAAAGAAAAATATATATTATTATAAAATTGTATTTGTAAAATTTATAAAAGTTTTTATTATATACACTCACACGCAAAAAAAAAGGTCTATTTAAATTTTAGCACTAATTTTTAATATTTTCAAATAGTAATAACTCAGTGAAAAATCATCGTAACGAGATGTTCAAACTTAAAAAAACTTAAAAAAAGCTGCGCAACAACACTGTAACGTTACAATTACAGTCATTATATTGAGAGTTTGAGAATGTTAAGCTCAAGAGACACAATGCGAGGGAATAGCGATAGAGATAAGTTTCAACTTATCAGAAATCGAATACACCGGAATACACATTTTTGATAGGTTGAAACTTATTACTATCGCTATTTCCTCGCATTGTGTCTTAGGCTTAATAATCATACCTCGAAATTAACGGAGATTGTACAATATATCGAATTCCTTTATACATAGTTGCATCCAGGGTCACTAGGTAGATTGCAATTTGGTATTATAGCACGTAGCACGTAGATACGTATAAAAAAATCTCGTAGTATATCTATGAGATTTAAGTTACCGAACATGTCATCTGAAATGTTAAATGTCTTTCATGTAAAGAATTTTTCTCTTTCGCAACGTAAAGAAATCAGAGTGAAAATTAAATTCACATATAATAATATACACTACGCAACAAAATTATCGCAACAAAATTTTTCATCGAAATTTTGCCATTTTTCAAATGCGTATAACTCGGTCAATTTTCATCATATTAAGACGATTTTTTTTCATTTTGTAGGTAATTATCTGTAAGGAAAACTTGATACGATGAAAATTGACCGAGTCATGCGCATTTGAAAAATGGCAAAATTTCGATGAAAAATTTTGTTGCGTAGTGTATATGTAGATATAATAAATATGTATAATAGATTGCTAATGCTAGATTGTGTTACAAATGCTAATTTCCTTGCTACATTTGATATTAAAGGATATTTTTAATGTGTAAATTATAAATAATTCATTTTTTCTGCAATTATAAAATATCTAGAATGTGTGTGATTGTGTATCTTTATTTTTATACTTATATGCACCACATTCTGGTTGTTTATATAATTAAATTTAATTAAATTTTTATAATTATATTGAGAAGAGAAGGGATAGTCTCATTCGTGTTACAGTTTGGAGTTTCACAATAAGTTTAAATCCAACATTCAGTAGACATTTGTAAAATACGCACGGCTGCTTATTGTTACGAGTCACCCATGTACAACAACTAGGAAAGGCTGCGTCAAATAATTGTCCTAATTACGGCTAACTATTATTTTCACGTACTTGCATCTTTACGTTTTCTACACAATTTAATTTGTCTCGTCGCCGCCTGAAATTCAGCGGCGTCTCACTTCGCTTCACTCGTTGTGTTTGACGATTACATTTGTGTGAAAGAATACAAGAATTTAAGGTAGACAGTTAAAAAAAGCAAAAATTCTCCTTTCATACGAAATAAAAGTTACAACTGTAATTTTTTTTTTTTTTATTAACACAGTTAATGGAATTGTACCTTACCTTTCTGCCGAATTGAATATTTATATTGACTATAATGTTATTCGATCATTATACGTCGTTAACTTGGCAATGCGTTAATTGTAAAATTGCCTTTGATATTATTCTACGCAATGGGTAAAAATTGTTATATTCTTTTTAATTTTCAATGTCACTGTCAAAAACAGCGTTTATGCTTATGCGCTCTTTTCTTTACATACATATATATGTATATATATAGCAACAAGAACGTGCCAACGTGTAGAGAGCCAAATTCTTCCACTTTGCGCTCTCTCTCTCTCTCTCTCTCTCCTTCTCTCTCACATTCCTTGTAAATAATTATCAAACTTTAGACTTAGCGCACACATGGCTGGTGTCGGTTGTTTAGGAAATTGTGACTGCGGTGCTGGGCGCGTTTCTAGGACAGGGCAGAGATCCCGAACAAGTTGCTGTAATGGGGAAAAATGTTTTCGAGGTTAGTACGAGCCAAAAACGAATAGATTGGACAAAATGACGTCTAATTCAAACTCTTATTAAAACTTTTCATCTCATTTTATAGAACGAAAGCTTTATATAAGTGCGTGCTTTACTCTTTGGTGCTCTTTATACTTCGTTGAGAATGTTACAAATACTAATACTCATATTTATACTAATCTACTTGCATTTTTAATTTAGCTATCTGTTTTATAATCCAGCTTAACTTAAAATTCCTTTTCCATAACATACGTTAATTATTGCAATACATTCTCCCAAATACAATATAATTACACAAATATGATTTTAAATAAATGCGTAGATTATAATAGACAAGTTGAGAACATGAGTCTTGAGCAACTTTACATGAGGACTAATGTACAGCTATAATATAATATATAAAAGAATATTTAAAAAATTCATAGTCATGTGTGATTATGATTTAAATTTAAAAGAAAAGAAGTCATGTGGTTATGATCGTACCAATTCTCTATCGAGAATTATCTGCGTTTTAATAATAATTTCATTTTCATAAACCAATCTTTATAATTATATATTATAATTTGGTGACAGATTAGTTTCGCGTGTATCTCCAAATAGCACAGATCGTTATGAATTCAAAAGAACCGCTCACTCGCGAGCAATGGGTTCACGCATCATCAAATAAAGGTTACAAAATTTGATTTCTCTTCTAGTAAGTAAATCTAATTACGCTCATTAATAGCGCTCATTATAAGATTAATTCTCACAATTATATTTTTAATATAATGTCTTAGATGAGCCCCAAAAATTAAGATTTGAGATAAAATTAAATGAAGTACTTCGACAGTGTAATTTTATTCTATGTATAATAAAATTTAATAATTAGAGATATCCTAAAATGTTCATGAAAGGATTTATTTATGTTACTAGGATACACTATAAGTATATCTAAAAGCTACTTCGATTTCATTGCAAATTCTTATAGGCTATAAAAAGACTTTTAAGTATTTAAGAAAAAATTCAGAATTAATTGATGATATAAAAATAAAATCTTTTTTAAAACTTTTAAAAAGTTTTTGTACTAGAAATAAGAGAGATTGGAAGAAAAATATATTTCATGATTTGCGGATTTAAAAGGATTATTTTAGATTCTCTGTGCTATCTCTGAGTTTATCGTGCTTATATTTTGTTTTTTTTCCGTATGCACGTCTCTGTGAATATGATCGTTTATTATACCTTTGTTTATCCGTGTTATTAAGCAGTTCATCAGTATAGTCATCAATCTACTGGACGCCCTGAAAACATCGTTCTCTCATCGTTCTCTGACGGCTCGTTCGCTTGGAAGACGCGACACCGTTTCCGAAGCTGCTATAGCGTCGATCTCTATGCTAAAGGTAAATTCAATAAATGATTATCAATATACAGTGGCATGCAAAAATTTCCGGCCAGTAACATTTTGTACCTTAATTAATAAAAAAGAGCCTGATAAAATTATTATTATAGTGTGTGTTAGTACAAGATTTCGTTACCTAAATTTTGTACTAACACCCAATAATGATCAAAATTTTACTCTTTTTTTATAAATTAAAATACAAAATGTTATTGACTGGAAACTTTTGCGCACCACTGTATATTGACCGCACGAGATAAACGATAGTTAAAATAATACTCTATTTGCGATTTTATGTAACATTTATAAAATTTATTACCAGTCGTTTTAACACATACAATATAATGAATGTTAAATGCAGTCATTTACAATTATATATATTAAGTTATCTACTTGTTATTATATTTATTTAAATATCATTCTAATTGTTACGTTATTATTTATCTTCGTGTTATTATACGATTATTGTTTTGTATTGTAAATATCAGAGAATAAAAGAGGAGATTATATATATGATTACATGTACTTAATAATAAGTTTCGAGCGAAAATATGTATCCCAAAGAATTGTAATTCTTAATTTAATTCGCTAGGGCTACATGAGATCCGTCAAGTCCTTTAGTTACGTAGGTCGTGCGGAGGAAGAAGGACAGCGTGGATGCGCCGAAAGAGCACTTTGTGAGGCCAGCGCGGAATGTATCGCTGATACGCAAGGTCCATCATCAATTTTCTGCCAACTTGGATCGTGAGTGTCCATTTTTGTATTTAATCTTCATTTTATATCTCTAATAAATTAAATACACTTAGAACGGTAGCATTTAGGTAGGTCATTTTACTATCTTCCTTCTATAGCTAGCATTGAATATACAATGTACATAGTATTTCATCATTTTTACATTATGTGATTTTATCATCGAATTCATTAAAATTATAACAGTTTCGGTCCGCGTAGTGGTAATAACTAGTCAAAGATCGAATTTGTAATGTCTTTTTCAGGTACGCAACAAGTTATTTCCTGCAGAGGCAGAGCGGCATCGGCTTTGAGGCCTTATACGAAGCAGGACGACGTGGTCGCACAGGCGAGGATTGCAGAACTCTTTTTATGGATTGCAACGCTGTATAAGCGAGTTTAACCACCACAGCGTTCTGTCGAACGCGGCTTAGATTCCGCAGGATTTCGGATTCTCTTTGCCGATCAGAATAAACTCGAAGACTCTCGTACATTCTACGCGCTTTGTCTTCTAATGGAGAATAATGTGAAACTACTCGAAGCAATTTGTATACATTATAGGCAACTAAATACGATTAATATGAAGGTTTTATAATTATCTAAGAAACACCTAAAATCGTCATATTTTACAATATGTATATGTAGTTAGACCTTTTAGGACCTATTTTTCGAGTATTCCGAATATTTTTTATCGTCGAGTATTTGGATGACGTTTCAACAGAGTTTCCGGCGTCCTACGGCTTAAATCATGTTAAAACAAAAGTATATAGAGTTTTAATCAACATATTCATGGCACGGGTGTGCACCGAGCCGGGATTCGCATCGAATCTCGCTAGCTCGTCAGCTCGGCTCGAGCTCACGATTGAACATTTCTTCAAACAGAGAATTCGTGTATGTGCGTATACATGCTAAGTAATGCAAATTTATTTCATCATCAATTTGCGATTCCGCGAAAATGCGATGTCGCGAACCAACGAGCACACTTGACGCTCTAATTCCGCTTGTCTCGAAAAAATTAGATTAAATTTTTGGATCGGACAAATTTGGAAGTTTCATTGATCTTCTTATAAATTAGCTTCCAATATAATACACTTTGATAAAGTTTTATCTATTTCAGTTTCTCTTTCCGATTTGTCACGTTAAAAGTTATATGTATCTTTTTGTATCCGAGTTTTGCCACGTCGATTATACAGTTATACAACTATATTTATTTCTATTTATTGAGCGTGTTAAATGTAGATGTAGTATGTGATTGGGACTCAGCGCGAGTTCTGGTATTGTTTTGACGACGATGACTATTATGTACAACAGAAAGTTTATATATACATACAGAGTGTCTCACAACGACCGCAATTTTTTTAAAGATATATTTTTGAGATAATTTTATAATGAAAATTTTAATATAAAAATGTCGAGGCTATAATAGTTTTTAAATTAATCGCAATTAAGTTTCGTTAATCAAGGAGCTAATATTTCGCGCGCTCAGGCATGACGATATGACAAATGTTTACCATACGAGACAAATGAACATAGTTACGAATTTATCTTGACAAATAATACATATCGTAATATTTTACTATTGAATTGATTGATATTTTACGATGTACTATTCCGATATTAATTATACATATAAATTATGCACATATGTGCGTATATACTTAAATTAAAAATAAGTACAAAATTAAACTAAACATGTACTAAAATTAAAAATGTACAAATATTTTTCAAACAACTTTCTGAAAAATATCGCATATTATAACGGGGCCTTCATAGTACATCATCATTTGTTATATCGTTATGCCTGAGCGCGCGAAATGTCAGCTCTGTAATTAGCGAAATTTAATTGCGATTAATTTAAAAACTATTTACCGATGAGAATAAGCCAGTAAAAACTATTATAGTTTTATACTAATACTTCGACATTTTTGTATTAAGATTTTTATCATAAAATTATCTCAAAATACTTTTAAGAAAAAATGCGGTAGTGTGAGACACCTGTATATATGTATATACATATATATATATAATTGTTGATATATTTTATGTTTGCGATCAATAAAATTTGTTTATCATCTGAAATGTATCTTGAAATTACAAAACTGTGAATAATGAAAGCAATTGAAGTTATGGTTTGAACGTTATTAATGAATTCGTTTCTCCCATTGTCAGTGATTTTCAATCTGCAGTCTATTTGTGAACTTTTTTTGCCCATCAGGTTAAAGCTAAAATATACAGTAACATTTTCTATCTTATATAAATTATCATAATATTTTTATTCAATTTTTAAAAATATGCACAAATAGCCTTATTAAGCATTCACGCGTTGATCAAATGACGTTATACTCCAATCGTCAATATGAGAATAAAAAGTTGACCACTTCGGCTTACACCGCAGGTAAAAAGAAATTATAAAGGTAGTAGTCGCCCGCTAAACTTTAAATTAAAATAACTTGTACAATAATTTCGAAAAATAATTTTATCATATCACACATTATTGTATTCGCTAATAACGGATGCTACAACTTTTATTATATTTACAAAATATTTACTTTATAAAAAAATTATGCTTATCTCTCAGTTTTTTAACATAAATGATTTTCTCAGTGAACACTGTATTTACGATAAAGTTTTAATAATTGCAGTCTTTTAATTTGAGACAATATATTTATTAAGCCTATATCTTGACCTATATCTCTGTTCGTTTATATCAAAGGAGTTTTTACGAAGTAAAAAGGGATGGCCATTTATATAATACGCCTAATATACAGGGAGGGGCATTTAAAACAGGTCACCTGAATAACTCGCTTGTTTTTGACAATAGAAGAAAAAGTGTCAAACAAAAGTTGCTTGGTTTCGAGGGGCACATAATGTGATGTCAATAATTGTTTTTTTTGGTGGAGGCGCAAAGGATAGGCAAAGGTAAAATTTTTTTTTAAATGGAATGATATATTTTTTTATTTACATTCTGATAGAGCATCTCAAGACGAATACAATGACCTATAATTGAAGGTCATTCAAGGTTACGCAAGGTCAATAATGGAATGTAATGGAAAATAAATTGTTTTAAGGCACTCTTCGAATAATTTCGTGTCTAATTTACTTATTTACGTACGTATATATATATATATATATATATATATGTATGTGTGTGTATATATATATGTATATTGAACGTTATTAATGAATTCGTTTCTCCCATTGTCAGTGATTTTCAACCTGCTGTCAATATATACATATATCAGAGAATGGAAGTAACTCGTTACTTGTAACGAAGTTACAGTTACGAGTTACTTTTTTGGTAACTGTAACGGTAACGTGGTTACATTTTTTGGATAAAGGTAACGAAATTCACAGTTACTTTTATCGTTACTTTTGCATACGATTGGACACGTTATTCTGTTATATAACAATTACATGTTATTAATTACGACAGCTATAAATGTGGTTGTAGGACATTGAGTCCTTTTATTTGATACAGGCGTACAAGCTACATTTAGTTTAACTTAATCTAAACATCGTATACATTTTGTTCTAACTGAGCTATGTAAAGAGCTTTACACTGTACATTTCAGCGTATATTTATGTTGAGCAATTGGAAAACACCCCTTTTTGCAAAACTTCTGTTATATATTTTAATTATAGCGTTATAATTTTCTTTCTATCAAAATATTTGATTTACAGTTAAAAGTATAGATTAAGTAAAAATATAGCTGTAATATATAGATTATGTGTATTTCTTAATTTTCTTTTTCTAACTTATATTGTGATTCAGATAGTCCTATACAATCCTATATAATCTTCTAGTTTTCTACAAAGTATAAAAAAATTCCTGAAATATTTTAGCTGTCAACTGCTGTAGCAATCCTGAAATGATCTTTGACAGCTGAGATATACAGTACCATTATTTCAGGAATTATTTTGCACTTGTATCTTCTATGTGACACATCGAACATATGTATATCTCAATTTGCTGCATATTTTACAGGTTTTAGAACTACGAAATTGTTTAAAAAAAAAAAAACTAAGAAATAAAACTACATATACACAGTGTCAGTGATATACATGCTATATATGTATTGTTTTTATTAACGTTTAAACAAAAAATACTGCAAAAGTACATTTTTAGATTGATTTTTAAAAAGTAACGAAAAGTTACCTTTAGTAACGGTAACTGTAACGAGTTACTTTTAAAAAGCGATAACTAGTAACAGTTACTAGTTACTTTTTTTACTCGGTAACGAGTAACTGTAACTTGTTACTTTTAAAAAGTAACTTTCCATTCCCTGATATAATATACTATATGTATAATGTATGTATTGTGTGTGCGCGCGCTTTGATTGGTATGGATAGAACGATTTGAACACCTGCACACACTATACGTACGTACGTACGACAAAAAGGTACAAATGAAATAATATTCTTATGTAACAATTTTTATCTGTATCTCGGAAAATATCCTTTAAAAAAATTAAAATTCAATGATTTTATTTGATGTTATCGACGGAAAAATTACTATAAAAACAGAACTCGATGCAATACTTCAATTTTCAATGCTATAAACATACAAAAATTATTAATTCCATGTCAATTATTACAATATTTTCGTGTATTTACAGCCTATAAAGGATTAAATTAATTTGGAAGATGTGTCAGTTACAATTGACACTTTAATGTCTAACAATAAATTAATTGATAAAAAAAAATTTAAATGAGATCTTCTTCAATGGACTCTTATGGTTCAAAAATAGTACAGTCCTCAAGGGCGAATGAGAGTGCAGTATTGATATTGGTACGCAATTTTAATAAACCTTATTATTGAATTCAATTCTCAAGTATCATTTATTCAATAATGAACAATATAATATACTTCGACTCATATCTTGAGTACATTTACATATTAAATATAATAAAGCAATATTTGTGAGACACGTCATATCGATAAAGAAAAAAATTTTTCTTTACCGGTGATAAACAGAAAAACGTTCCTATTTGATTTCATTAAATGTATTGAGAATAACTTAAAGAAATTCAGTAGATCACATTGTGACAAGATTAGAGTATTGTCTAGTTCAATACTTAAAAATAAGCTTTTACCTCTGAAACTTTAATAATGAAATAATAAAACTTTTTAGAAAAACAAAAAATTTTTTAAAACGTGAACAAGAATTGATTCTCACTAGAGCAGACAAGGGAAACACAACAGTGGCACTTAAAAAAAATAAATACAAGGAAGTAGTTAATTCAATGTTATCAGATCATGAAACTTACACTAGAATTGACAAAGATCCTACTAATAAATTAACTAATAATGTTAGAGAATTGCTCCAGAGATGGAAAAAATGTGAATACATAGAATAATCTTTGGTAATTATTTAGAATAGGGGAGGCAGCACCGATGACCTTGACCTTGACATATGTTATCAAGGTCATGATTTTGAGTAACTTTGCCTTAACAACTAACCGTCGCTCGCCCTTCGTTAAAAAGTTATTAATAATTATAGTTTTAAAATAGTAAATGTCTCAATCAGGGGACCTCCCTCCAATGACTTTGACCTTGACATATGTTGTCAAGGTCATGACCCTGAGTTACCCTCAACAGGTTTTAGCTGTCGCTTGTCCTTCGTTAAAAAGTTATTAACAATCATAGTTTTAACGTATGCTATCGTGTATGATATAAAGTACTATTCTACACCTTTCCCTGTTCAGAAACGTTGAACTTTCCACGCGAAGTAACTTTCACCCCCTCACCCTCCCTGCACAGGGGCACGCGACTTCTACGATTGTACTATTGCTGTGATAGTACTGTCGGGGGAGACCTCTGTCGACGGTGTGGGTGCGGGGGGATGGCCCCAGGGGAGAGGTTCGGCCACCCCCTTGCACCCGCCCGTGTGTATGTGTGTAAAATATCAAGTAATAGACTCATAATCGTTATATAACGAATAGAACTCGGGCGGGCGGGCGGGCGGGTGCAAGGGGGTGACCTTCGGCCACCCCCCCGCACCCACACCGTCGACAGAGGTCTGCCCCGACAGTACTAATCATA